CCTGCTAACCAACCAACCAACAGCCACCTGCCAGCGGCGCCAGCAGCAACCAACCATCTGACCACAACGTAGCATCCCTTTTGTGGGCCATCCGAGGTTAAAATTTAGAATAGGAAGAAGCCTATTGCAACGTGGCATGCCTTTTGTGGGCCACAGATACAGTTTAGAGTAGGAAAAAGCCATTGCAACGCAGCATTCCTTTTGTGGGTAAAATTTAGAAAAGGAAGAAGCCATTGCAACGTAGCGTGCCTTTTGTGGGCCACCCGAGGGTAAAATTTAGAGCAGGAAGGAGCCATTACAACGAAGCATTTCTTTTTGTGAGCCACCCGATGGTAAATTTTAGAGTAGGAAGGAGCCATTACAACGATTTACAACGTAGCATTCCTTTGATGGGCCATTCGAAAGTAAAAATTTAGAAAAGGAAGAAGCCATTGCAACGTAGCATGCCTTTTGTGGGCCACCCGAGGGTAAAATTTACAGCCGGAAGGAGCCATTATATTACACTGTAGCATTCCTGTTATGGGCCATTTGAAGGTGAAATTTAGAATAGGAAGGAGCCATTACAACGCAGCATTAGTTCGAATTCGACTTCGAATCGACGATAATTTTTTTCACTCCGGGGGGGAACTAGTTCGAGTTTGAGTTCGAATTGCAATCGACGACAATTTTGACGCCCGGACCGGGGGAAACGCAGTTCGAGTTCGAGATCAAATTTCGAATCGACGACAATTTTGACACCGGGGGGGGACCAGTTCGAGTTCGAGTTCGAATTCGAATTCGAATCGACGACAGCGATTTTGGAGTTCGACTCTTTCTATTCGTCCACTGGGTTGACTTAACAGTTCCAGTTCGAGTTCGAGATCGAGTTCGAGATCGAGTTCGAGTTCGAGTTCGGTTCCTTCCATATATCCTTTCAAGGTTAAGTTCATCAATACTGTATAACTGTTTCAGTTCGAGTTCGAGTTCGAGTTCGAGTTCGAATTCGAATTCGAATCGACGACAGCGATTTTGGAGTTCGACTCTTTCTATTCGTCCACTGGGTTGACTTCTAACAGCTCCAGTTCGAGTTCGAGATCGAGTTCGAGATCGAGTTCGAGTTCGAGTTCGGTTCCTTCCATATATATCCTTTCAAGGTTAAGTTCATCAATACCCCTAAGGGTCCGAGTGCATGCTGAGGAGCTACTTTGGGAAGTAGCTCCTGAGGAGAGGTTTTCGAACAAAACCTCCTCAGGATGGGTTCAGGTGGATCCAAATGGCTGAGCCCGTTCTCAGAAGGTTTTGGCTCGGTGCAAGCCCTGTCATGAAAGGGTTTTGCTGTTAACATCTGAAAGGTGCACAAGTTCACATACATGTTGATCCAATTGACTCCAAAAAAGCAATGATTTGCTTTCTAGAATGATCAGTCAGACCAAGAATAGTCTACTTACCCACTGTTCATGGCAGTCCTGCTATGGGGCTTTTGAGGGCTGCTGTGCTCAAAGGTGGAGGCCGGCCCTGCTCTCTGTTTGCCAGTTTTTTTTCCACAAGTTGGCACCAATCTTCTTGCCTATAGATCTGATCTATTGCAGCCCTTGGCTCACATCTTCGCTTGACGTGGCCTTGGACCCATGGAGGTGGTTCAGGAGCAGGCAGAGGAGACAGTACAGGTGTTGACAGGACCCCTCAAACAAAAGGTCAGTGACCCTAAGCTGCACACAGGTTTCACTTTTCTACTTGCCACTTTGTGATGGGCCCATGTGATTTTGGAATTGGGTGCGAGCAATTTCAGGAAGGAGCCCAAAAGATCTGGGCAGGGATCCAACAGTATACCGACGAATTCAATCGAGATATAATGGCTCATGGGGAATCTTGGTTTGACATATTGCGATGTATGTTTGTGTTGGGGCTTGTGGTGCGCACTGTGCTGCACTATCAGTACAAGGGTTGGCATGCACTTAGGAGAGGCAAATTGTCCAATGGGCTCCACGCCTTCGGGAGTGCATTTCTGAGACTGACTTGGAGGCCAACTACTTGTTGCTCAAGTATGTACTTCTTGAGATTGGACACCTCCAACCTACATTGCACCTGATAGATTTCAAAGCTGCGTTTATAGTTGCCACCACGCACCACAACTTCCATAGTGCTTTGTATACAAAGAAAGGAGGTCGAGGGCTGATCCGTGACACTTGCATGCAATTGGTGTTGGGGTCATGATGGCTGATTGGCAACTTGTCATGCCAAATGGCTATACCCATAAAAGCCCCCTGCGCCGTGCGATCAGGATTGGGCCCACGCTGAAGCAACACGTCTTCGCACCATGGTTGCGCACCTGCTTGGGATCACGAAAAGGACAGTGAAGAGCAGGAAGGGTTGGCAATCCATGACCACATACATTGCTTGCAGTTCATGCAAAAGAAACCCATTGAATTGTTGAAGATTCTGGTCCATCACAAACCAAAATTGCTTTTGTGATCTTTTATGTGGACCAGGTCCAAGAAAGTTGGTGTGCTTAAGTACCTCATTGCGCACATGAAAAAAAAGCACTTGGTGGATGGCCAGGCCAGGCTTGCTCTTGTGGTTGTGGCCACCTTGCCAAAATGTGTCAGCTGTGAGGACTCTCAAAGCCAGCCCCTGGTTCCAGCGTCCATGGATGAAAGTGAAGAGTCTCAGGCTCATATACATATAGTGCGATTGTTTTACTTGTTGCATCAATTGAGACATACAATCATACACCCTACTCATCATTGGTCTGGTCAGGCGGCAGAATTTCCAAACAAGGCTGATGATGATTGCGCCAAAGAAGAAATTGAGGAACGTATTGACTTGGAGGAGGCAGTTGTTTTTCTCTAGAGGGCCTTGACATTCAAACCAGTTGATCTCCTCTCCCCCAACAAAACGTTGCGACCCCAAATATGGGAACCTGGGATCTGTTATAGTGATTGCTACTTTGCAAGATGCTTGTGAGGCCAGCTTGATATGGAAGACCTCGTTGGAGACTCCAGCTCGCAGCAACATCACAGAGGCGCAGCGCCTTGCAGAATACAAGGAGGATCTGCAGGATGCAATCAAGGCCTTCCATGTGGTGCAGGGTAATGTCAACCAGTTTTTTTCCAGCTAGCTGTTTTCCATATATGTGTGCAACCAGTCCTGGTGAGGAAGCTGTGTCATCTGTGAAGAAATCGGCTCAACTGGCTAACCTACAAGTTGTTATGGATGAGCTTGATAAGGAGCTGGGACACTGTACATGCAGTAGCATGTAGTGCATGCATGATGGCATCCCTTCATCCAGTACATGATTGACCCCAGGATGTGACAAAAGCTGGCTTGACTACACGCAGTGTGTCATTGGACAACCTGGAGGAACATCTTGCCTCATAAGGTTTTGTTACTAGGTTCCATGAACCAAGAGCCATTTGCACACAATCCATCAAAATTTGAGGGGGGCCTTTGCTCCAGGACGTGACTGATGGCAAGGATGGTCCTGGTGTTGATGAACACCGTGGTTCACTGATCAAGTGTGCGCCTGAGCTGCCTGGCTTCTTGCTTGACGAGGAGGTGATCGAGGTTGATCATGATCAGCTTTTGCGCAAACAAGCTGACTTACGCCAGAAAAAGTCCCAGGCTGGACTGGTAAGGGGCACCTATACTAGTTTGATGCAGTGCAACTGTGACTCTAGTGCTCATTCAGTATTGGCTGGGCAGGACAAACAAATTCAGGAGGCTGCCAAGGTCGAGAAGAAGAAAGCCAGAAAGGAGGCCAAGGTAGATGAGGCCAAACTAGGTGAAGCTAGTGATGCTCCAAGCAAACCGAAAGCAAACAAAGCAAACAAGAGCAAAGCAAAGCCTGAGACAGAGCCAAAGGTTCATGGCAACAGGAGATGCAAAACACTGACTGCCGCAAGCAAAGAGGACCCAGCCACTGAGCAAACCGGACAATATGCAGCAACAGCTGAACAGCCACCTGCCAAAAAGCACAGAAAGCAGGTAAAGGCTAATACTACAGCTGATGCCAATGCACCAGCAGCTGATGGCCAAGGACAACCTGTCAGCAAGAAGCGGGGGAGGCAAGTTCAAACTACAGCTGATGAAAATGCAGCAACTGCTGGTGGGCCAGAACAACCTGCCACCAAGAAGAAAAGGAACGAGCCAGCAGATAAAACAACACTCGACGCGAAGAAAGAGGCTGCCAGCAACAAAAGGAGAGAGCAAGCACAGCAAGCCCTACAAACACTTGAGGACATCACTGAGCCCATGAGGTATTTCAAGCTGCCAGAAGACCCACAGTTCAAGAACATGTTCCTAGGTTTGTGCCCAAAAACATTTTAAATTTACAGGTGAACATGCACTGCACTGCCAAATCTTCTGCTATGTGTAAAGTGTGATGTACATATGTGAATTGAACACACCAAAAACAAACACTCCTGGCAAAAACAAGGAGCTACACGATTGGTCGCCCTGATGATGTTGATACTGGCATTGGGAGTGTGGGTGTCGAGCTGTATCGGCGCAGCTTTCGAGTTGAGAAGGTGACCTTCCCTGGTGTTCAGGCCCCTTGGCCCACAGGAGGCATGTACAATGTACTTTGGCATGCCCTCATGTCTTGTTTTGCCTCTATGAGAAAACTGACTATATAATAAGTTCCACAACTCCACCACAATTTTGCAAGTTGAAAGTTGGCAGTGGCTGCTAGCTGAGGTTGACAAGAAGGGTGGTGTGACTGTACCATGGTACAGTGATCCCTGCTCTGCGCCACTTATCTTGCATTGGCTGTAGGATGCAACATATGTTTGCAAATGGCAAGATATAATGTGTTGAAACATCTAATGTTTAGTCCCTCATGCAAAGGCTAGCCTTTGACAAGGTGGAAATTTGCTGTGAAGCTTGCTCAGTGGAACGATTAGTGCAGGCCAGCATGTTTTGAAAGGATGTCTTTCTGCCTTCACCTCATATGAAAACACAACAAATGGGTATGCTTTGATGTGAACTGGATTCCCTGCCAGGCCTGATGCCTTTGCGAACCACGGATCTTCTCCTGGTGAAGAGCTGGGAATGGGGTTTGGGCGAGATGCATGTGCATCTATTGAACTTTTGTCCAGTTCTGAATGGCTGCTTTGGCCATTAATGTCTGAGTGAGTGTTGATCAACACTTGCATTAGCTGGTCTGCTTGCTGAAGACAAGCAAATGGAATGGAACTGCAACGGTGAAGGTGTCTTGCAGCAAAAGGCACCTCTTGCTTACCAACCCTTGCTGGATGTAAAGAACTCTGTGTATATACAGACTGAGAGCTATATCTAGCTAGATATAAAGGCTAGATATAATATATTAGATCCAAGGTCTTGCCGCTGAGTTCTGAACATTGGAGATCTGTGTGCTGTTCTTTTGGTCAACTTCCACCTGACACTTGGCAGGTGATTCTACTTTGTCTGCTTCAGGAAAGCGGAGTGCTGGAGGCTGGCCTTGGGAATGGGGAGAGATGTACTCTGAGAATAAATTATCCAAAAATGCAGGCTTAGGAAACACTTTAGAGACTGCGGCTTGAGTGTGATGTGGACTTCCAATAGGTAGCTCTCTCCCTCTCTCTCTCTCTCTAACAGTTTGGTGTTTCCTGCTTTCTCCCCAACCCATTATTACCAAAGGGTTAAGCGCTCTATAATCCTTGTAGAGGAGTCCGGCTTTGGGAAAGGTGATCCAAGCTTCTTACATGTTGCAAAGGAATTTAAGCAAGAGTTTGAATCAAGTGTGTTATTGCCATGTGAAATCTTTGGCAGGTCAATCTTCTGCAGGGGGCTCTGGGGCAGGTCAGCCCCAGCTGCACTCCCTGTGCTGTGTGTGCGTGTGGGTTTGTGCACACACTTTTGTGTGTGTGCTTGAGTGAGGGTTGTGTAATGTTGTGGCAGGTGAATGCATCGAACCTTTAAACAAATCAACCATGCATGGCAGGCACTTGGTCCAAGTGAGGTGTTTCACACAGCAGCTAGGCAAGGATGAACACCCGATCCCTCCGGCTTAGCAAGCTGCAAGCTGCAGCACTATTGGCCCTTGGGGTGCCAGCAATTTTGCGTCTTGTCCTCCATCCAATTACTAAGCGTGTGCATGTGCTACATTGTGTTGATGTGTCTTTCAACCCTCAAACTATCTATTGCTGGGCTCAGTTTACACTTTGTGGACATTGTCGGACAGCTTACCCCATATGATGCCTCACAGGACTGATGTTACAAGGGATGCCTTTGTTGAAGATATTGCAATAACCCAAACACATGTAGATTGCCACTCAGAACTGTGCAGGAGCTTTTTTGCTTTGAAGTATTCAGTGGTGTTGGCTCTGTGATGGGAGCCTTCAGCTTGGACCTTAATGAACATGATTGTCACTAACCACTCCCACGACAAAGACCCCTCAACCCCTCAATCTTGGCACTCTGACTTGTAAGGAGCTCAAGGATATCCTGCGTCACTTACACAGCAACTGTGTGGGTTGGTAGGTTGACTGCCATGCTTGTGCACTCAAGAGTGGGTTGGTGATCACGAAAGATCCTAGGTCTGGATTTGATATACTGGCCGATGGTGTTGGTCAGGACCTTGCAACAACCATTGGCTTTGCAACAGCAATACGGAATGTCTTGCGGTGCAAGTGCCGAGCTTTGTTCTATGTGGGTTTACCTTGCAACAGCTTCACCTTCATGACCTCTTCCCGACACCAAAGGTCTGCAGCCAGGCCATATGGTTGTGAGGCCTACAAATTTGTTGTTGAAGGGAACATGGTGGCAGCCCGCAGTTGCTTGCTAATTGCCCTGTCAGTGGTTAGAGGGCTCTCATGGTTCCTTGAAAATCCCAAGCGAAGTGCTTGCATATACCTGCCATACCTTCGGTTCCTCCTGGCCCATCCAGCGCTCAATGCGGAAGTTGTCACTTGGTGGGGGCCCAATCTTAGCAGTATATGTTCAACACAAAATGTCTTTGGAAAAAACACATTTGCCAAAAGCATTTCTGATATCAGCCACTCTTGAACTCAGGTTTATGGGCTTCTTTGGTGCGTTTTCAATCAAACCTGAGCTTGGAATTGGCAGTGCGTCACAAACTCAGATAGAGGGGGGCCAGGAAATCTTGGCACCATAGACCCCAACCCGAATGGTACATGTTCACTGAAATGTGTTTGTGTGGGGTGCCTTCCTGGGTGCCTTCCTGAAAGCCAGATGAGGGAGTGGTTGGATTCCTTCAACCAGCGCAAGGTTGATAAGGAGATAGCTGAAGGAATCAGAGCCAGGGGGCTGATGCTCAAGAAGGAAATGGTGAAACAACACGCTTTCCTGAAGAATGGGAAACGTAATGTGTCCAACCCTTAGCCTATGACTGACGATCAAGGTAAATGATAAATGATTCAGATCTAGCTGTGGTCTAGATTTGGCTGGGGAATGAGGACAGCTGGGAAAGACATGAAATCTTCAGCAAACTATCCGGCACCATTTGGGAACAAGATTGCGCAACTTCACTTGGCTTCTATGGACTCTCTTCATGAATATGGTTCCACAAACTAAGAGAGACATGTTCCACTTGCCAAACCCAGTCTGGCCCGGCCCAGGATTCCCGATGCCAAATGCCTGATCTTCGCCGCGTCGTGGAGCAAGGGGTTCAGGTGCGAGTGTAAGCCTTTGGGAGTGTTTGAGAGTGGACATTTGGGGCAGTCTTGTGTCACAGGAGACTGGGGCAAATTGGGATCATGCTGCTCTAGAACCTATTCTGCAAGTTGTCACTGAGAGTGCTCAATGCCAGCAGATTGAACTAGATGTTTTGATTCCATATGAAATTCGACCATGTTCATTGGAAGTGTTTCAGTTGGTCCGTGCAAGGGCAATGGACGACAATTAGTGGTAGCTGTTGACTGTTTGAATACCTGCATATGCATGGTCTTTCCCAGCACAAGACTTGACAAACATGACTGGTGACTTATCTTCCTATATGGGATACCTAATATTAGCTTGACCCCCCCCATTGTGTATTTCCAACTTGTGTTGTGTGCTGGCAAAATGCGTGAGTGCAACAATTCGTGTCCCCACTTCACTTGCTGTGGAAGGACCGCACACGAACAAGAAAAACTCAAGCCAATCCAGACACTGCGCTCTTTTCCTTTCAGTTCGGTCCTTTGCATGTTGAGTTTCCACAAATGTGTGAGCCATTTGGGCACTGGCCTGTCTGGGTACTGGGCTCTCAGTGCTGTTTGGCAGTGGAGGTGGGGCAGGTGGGACTGTGGAGATGTGTTTTAGGAGCTGGTGGGTTCCCCAACCTGTTGATTCAAAAAGCAATTGATAAAATGCAAATGATGCAATTGTCCAAGTAGCGCATTATTTGCATCAGGAACAATTGCATCACAACAGTGATTGAAGCCATAGAATAAAAACATATTAAATAGAGGTTTGGGTGGCATCTATTGCCCTTGAACTGGATATTCCCGACCTTGCTGCTCCATGATTCCTATAATTTTCTAATGGTTTGTAAGGAGTGGTAGGCGCTAGATTACCGTTAGATTACCGTTAGATTTCCCTCCAAACCCGTGCTGGGAGACTTTTGGGCGTTAGATTACCGTTAGATTCGCGTTAGATTCCGTTAGATTATTTTCCCTTGTCAGATCCCTGATATCATGCAGCCCAATAGACATTTGCATCGTCTACATTTTCAAACCACCTGGTTCTTCCTGTACATCCAGGTGTATGGCTCCAAAAAAGACAGCTGCCAAAGCTGCCCCGAAAGCACCTGGAGTTTCTTGTTTGCATCCACCATTGAATTTAGTCTGTTTTGACTCTCCTCTTAGTGACCCATGAGGCTCGTGCCCAATCTTCTGCTGATGAGTTTGAAGATCCTTTCGATGCGTCTCGCGAGATGTCAGAGGTGATGGACCTTTTGGCCAAAAAGAGTGAATCTCTCATGTATTATGTCATGTATGATGGGTACAAACTCACCTTTGCTACATTAAATGGGTTGGTGTTCATCAGTATTTGGCCAGGTGCGGAGAAGGGGCTTCAGGAGCTAGCTGCCCTACAGGCGCAACCGGTACCAAAAGCCAAGGGGTCTGGGAAGTCTGCTACTCCTAGCAAGCAACACAAGAGAGTGATGGTGAAGCCTATCATTCATGAGCAAGGACCATCTGCGAAGTCAACCCCTGTTAAGAGCCCAGAACTGAAGAAAGCCAAGGGAACAAGTGATATGAGCACAAGCAGCACAACCAAGAAGTCTCTGTTTGCTGAGCCTGGCCTGGGTGCTGATGGGAGCAAGTCTCCAAGTCCAGGTGGTGGCGCCCAAGCCTGTCAGGAGAGACAAACACGACCTGAGGACCTAGCTGAACCGGCTGAACCAATGGTGGTTGATGTGGAGGCTGGTGATGAACAAAAGAAAGCTTTTTGGTAGCAACCTGATTCTGGTTTTGTGTGACAAGTATTAACCAATTGTATTCAGCTGTGCTTGCCACACTGGTCATGCCTAAATGGGTGTACACTGGAGCTCAGGCTCCAAGTGATCAAGATGCAGATGTGAAGCCTATTTTTGCTACACTGAGCTGCTAGCTTGCAAGTGTGCAAATGTGATGTGTGCATATACCATATGCATTTACAAGGTTAACAGTTTGCATCCTGAGGAACGCCCACCAACATTGATTCGCAAACCACTCTACGCTTGGGGTTCACAACAGACTCCCTGTCTGCTGAGTTGGAAGCCCTTGAGACTGCCAACCTATGTCTCCGACCACTGGTGGACCACTTGTTTGAATCGAACTTTGTGGAGTCAACGGCTTTGGAGGATGAGGTGATGGTTTGGATTGAGAAAAGAGGCCAGCAAGAGCCTTCATTTGAGGAGGTTGACCCAAAGCTTGGCCCACGAGCCAGGGATGTTTGGAACATGCTGCGAGAGCTTTCTGCCACCAAGATGGAGCTGGCAGAGGCAACAAAAAAGAAAGAAGAAGTTTTCGTGAATGTGGAAAAACTGCAAAGTCCATGGTCAAGAAGCAGCGGGACATCATGTTCAACATGGGCCACGATAAGCCTGATGAAGTGGATCTATACAAGATCAGGGTCCAAAACATCGAGCTGTGGCAGAGGAAAAAGATGGATGAGGCTGGGGCTCTGGTCATGAAGTTCCTGGACAAAAGTGATGCCTTACGAATTGAGATTGAACGGTCAATTAGAGAGATCGTTGATGAGGCAAAGCGTCTTCGTGGAAAGGTCTTGCGACCATTGCCTGCTGATGAGCTGATGGAGGAGCTTGATGCTGCTCTGCAATTTGCTGACCTAGAGGCTTCGCTCCAGCCTGTTGAGGGTGTTGACCAACCTATGCCAGGAGATCACCTGGATGATGGTCTTGCAAGGCTCCAGTCTCCTGAGCCAGGCCAGCCCATGGTGCAGCCAGTCGAACCTGGAGAGCCACACCAGAAAACAATGCAGCCAGTTGAACCCGAAGCACCAAACCAGAACACAGTGCCGCCAGTTCAACTGGAGATGACAAACCAGAACACAGTGCAGCCAGTTGAACCTGAAGAACCAAACCAAAACACAGTGCAGCCAGTTCAACTGGACACGACAAACCAGAACACAGTGCAGCCAGTTGAGCCTGAAGAACCAAACCAGAACACAGTGCCGCCAGTTCAACCGGAGACAACAAACCAGAACACAGTGCAGCCAGTTCAACTGCAGATGACAAACCAGAAAAGAGTGCAGCTAGTTGAACCGGAGAAGCCTGCTCCACAAGCACCTGAACTTGCAAGTGCCACACCAGCAGTCCAAGTGAAACTGCCATGCAGTCCAACCCAAGACTTGTCACAGCAGTTCCAGCCACCACCTCCACTACTGGAGGCCAGTCTGTCCACTGCAGCAGTGGCTACAGTGGCCCGTGCCATGGAGAGAAAAGACACTGTGCAGCTTGATGCAGACATGGCAGAACATGCTGATGATGCTGTGGTCATGGAAGATGGCACTGTGATGTTCAACGGCCCGAATGGACGCTTTGAAACTCTCAAGGAGAGAGAACAGCGTCTCAAGCACAATATCAAGATGAAATTCAACCGTTCTTTGGACAGCCCCTGTCTTAGAAGCTTTCTTGTAACAGGATAGTTACTGACTTTGCCCACCAAAGAGATTCTGTGACATCAGGTCCTAGCTGTCCTGAATGTGTTTTGGAGAAGGCTCGCAACAGGCGGTACAGTCCCTTGCTAGCATTGTTGGAATAGAGTACTAGTATGCACTTAATATATGTTATATTTATTGCGACAGTGCTTGTCAAATATGGTTGCATTCTATGGGTGACATGGTGCTGAGATCATCAGCTCATTGCCCAGCTCTTTGATGACTGGATTGGCTCTGGCAAGAACTGGTGCAAAAGTTCTATCTACTTGAACTCCATGAAAACCAAGGAGCAACGGCGGGTTGGTCGCTATGTTATGCGTACATATCAACAGTTACGTGAGAAGTTTGGCGCAACGATTGCGAAGACCATCAGGGATGACAAGAGGGAACTCCAGGCCAAGCGCAAGCCTGGTGACCCCGTTTGGGTCATGTCCCATCCTGACTGCCCACATGAAGAAGAGCCCTAACTGCACATACCCAAATTCAAACATGCAGTATTGCACATGCATCTTTTCAATGCTGACAGTTAAAGGTGCAGTACATGCAAGTGTGGCTCTAAGGATTTGGAGCTCTTCCGTGTCTTTGATTCCCTTGAATTTGAAGACCTGGAGTCGGATCGGACAGAGACAGGTTTCAATTTGGATGGATCCTTTGATGCTGCCCAAACAACACAAATGGGGTATGGTGCCTAGTTGTGGCAAGAGCTTTCATAGAAGTGCTTGCATGGTCACCCTTTCTCCCAAAGCCGGTGCCCAGGCCTGTGCTGACACAAGCCTTGAAGCAGTTGCCAGCAGGTGTGAACCTGCCAGGCTTGCCAGGTTCCGGCTTGGCAGGGGGTCAAGATGATTCAAGACCACCACCCCCACCTCCCCCACCGAAGACAACAAAAAAGAAAGCTGGGCCCAAGAAGATTGCGCAGCAAAAGATTCAAGTATGTTCTTCGAAGCTGACGGACATCAAATGTTGGTCATCAAAGCTACAAGAAAGTGCTTTGCATCTTGAATCTGTACAAGAAAACTTGTGTAATGAAACTGTTGGGAACTCATAATATGCAGTGTTGGGGTTGTACCCTGAGTTTTTGACAACCCAACATAGGAATGCAAGTAACATGTGCTGCTTTAAGGTCGGAGGACATGAAGAAGGGATATGCATCAGAGCTTCAAGCTCGGCGCACTGAGATGGAAATCATGAAGTTGGAGTTTGAAGGGCTGTACATGCGAGTGGAAGAAGAAAGTGTGATTGAGAACTCAAATGAACTCAAGGCTTTGTATGACCAAGCCTTTTCAAAGGTAGAAGCATATGTCACTAGCTTGGCTGGCACCATCAAGTCTGTTAGACTGGCAGTGGACCCTTGCTTCAATCAATACTAGATCTGTTGTGGGGCATTTGTGGTGCGTGTGCCATATGTTTTTTCGTTAAACATGTTGTGAATACTGTTTGAGTTGCCCACCGTGCCCAGGAGCCTCCAAAGCCGAAGGCGAAGAGCAAGGGCAAGAAGTCCATTGCACCTGTGAGCTGAAACCGTGCAGTGATGGGGTTGTAAGGGCATTGCTTGGGTATCTATAGGTGCTTTGGCCTTTGAATACGAAAGCTCAAAAATAACATGACAGGTGTTATTCCTACTTCATTGGGTTTGTTGGATCACCAGGTTTTATATATGAATTTGTATGAAGGCCTTTGCTCATAGAGTTTTGGAAGCAGGTGAGCCGTTTCCTTAGATGAGTGGAAATGCAACATCTGCATGGCAATGCTGTGAGATCGTATCTTAACATGGCATGGGATCTAAATGATTCCCAAACTCTGCGATGGTTGCGAACAAAGGGTGTTCAATCAAGGCAGCCCTTGGCACAAACAACTTCATAGTACTTTTAGTTGTGTATCAGTATTCTCCCCTGCGCAGGATTGGTTTCTCATCACAGTCGTAGTTCACCTCTCTACAACTACCTGTTGAAGACAACAGGGTTTGGAGAGTCTTGGTACGCTTGTGCATTTTTGGGAAATATGCATTGCTTAATGAATACTATTAGGTTTCTTCCTGTTTTCAAGTCAAACCAAGGACAACAGTTTCAAACGGGCCAGGGAAATTTCTCACTACGTTGCCAAGGACTGATCAGTTCTGACCATCTTGCATACTTTCTTGGACCTAGTTGTGTTGGGGAGTGCCTTTCACTTCTTTTCCAGGAGTTCAAATTCCATGGTGCTAAGCTGACAGGTCCACTTCAGGCACTCAAAAAGTCAGGATCTAGTGGACGTTGGACATCCAACATCCAAAGAGATGTATTTCGCAAACTTGGAAGGGATGACCAAGGCCAAGTTTCCTGGTTGCATTCAGGATCTGGAAGAACAACTAAATTACTGTTGCTCTTTTTGGCTGCTGTAAAATGGTTGAGGGAACCATCAGAGGACCAAATCACTTCATTGGGGAACATCAACCTAGGTGCCCATTACTTTCGTGGATGTCCCTGTACGCAAGCTTACTGAGAAGGGCATCCACTCAGTCAAGCTACCTGTTTGCCTTCCGCATGAGCTCTTGCCGTGGCTTCAAAACCATGGGTTGTTTCCACCTGTTGAAAAGAAAGATTTAGAGCAGTGGTGGAAGCATGCGTCAACCCTTGACCTACCCCATGCAGCAATTTCACCAAACTGCCAGCATCATCCCTGGTGGATCTGGGGTGATGACTGTCAGTTTAATGAACTGGGTGAGAAGCTTATTTGTATATGCATGGGGCATTGCTTGGACAACCGCACCTACTCGATGGAATCATGCTATCCAATCTTTGTCCTGAGGGAAGATCCTTGCCTCATCAACTTGGGATGTCTTGCTAGTGCGTGCAAATCATTGTAGGGATTTGGGGTATACAAATGACAAATGCTTCTGAGGAATTGTCGAGTGGGTTTGGAACTCTATTCCCTGTCATGCAAAGTGTGACTTGGTTCCAAGTACTGGTATGTCACATGTGTCCCACCTTTCTAGTGGCATTGGCCATTCTGCCCACGCCTAGGTTGTGCAATCGATGTTGAAGTTGTATGAGGGGATTGAGATGGATGATCGGACCATGCTGCATGCGGCCATATGTGAACTCAGGGGGGACTGGAAATGGCAGAAAGATACTGAGCCAAAAATCAGGTATGTGCATGGGCAATGGAGTTGTTTGTCTAGGTCCAGTACTGATAAGGAATGGTGTAATATTCAGAACTACTATCACTACCGGTGCCGACATGTCTGCCATCAATGCTATGCTGGTCAAGCTGACTACCTGATCCCAGTCTCCAAACTACGCCATCTCCCCCGACACACACCCCAAACATTTGTGGATGAAGTGTGCAAAGCTGGCCCCAAATGTGGCTGACTTAGACCAGAAAATGTTCTGCTTTAAACACATCAACTATGAACTGGTTTTGGTCATGATGTATGCTCCCAGGTCCCTTTGTTGGACTTCCGCATTTCCATCCAGACTTTGTGAGATGGTGTGCCATGCATTGTGTCCACCTTGGGCTCGACCTTTGGATTGCTGGCAATACGTTTCAGTATTTGCTAGACAACACATCGGTATGGGGGAGTGGTGATCCTGAAGAGCGGCTTTTGGCTTCATTCAGGGAATACAAATTATGGGTGAAAGAAAACAAGATTTCGTAACTTGACTCTCATATATCACTGCATGATGTTTTTTTTTAATTGCTTCCCTGGGAGCTCAATATTCCCAATGGTCTCCTAGGCAAAGTATGCCGGTCTTCAAATGCAAAAGGCTCAGATCGAACCAACATCCATATCCTGAATTACAGTCCAAGGCCTTTAATGCTACTTGCCAGCTTTGGTCCTTTGGTTGTTTTGAACACATGTACACACCACAAGGGGGAAGGGTGCCAGTGAGGCTAGATGTGTTGTGAGCTACCTGGCAAAGAAGTTGGCTGCATTGGTCACTCCCGAATCACCACAGACTCTGAAGTGGATCTGTGCATGTGTGTGGCTTGAAATGCAGCATCATCTCATCAAACCTTGTGGTTATATTTTGCATTGCGCATCCCTTAATTTAATGCCCTGGCCCCTGAGGTGGTGGCAGTCTCATTGGCATGACATCCATGAGGAGCGGGGAAGGTACTTGACCGCTGAAGATGCAAAGCTCATTGAACAGTGCTGTGTTCCTTGCATGCCTTGAGGGTTTATGATGTGCAAAATGGAATGTACTCAAGTTGTGATGTATGCATGAATTATGCTAACTGGTGTCCTCAATTTGTATAATGTTAAGTTGTAGTGGTGTCCACTTATAAGGACAAAGTGATGCACTATTACTTCTTGCTGGCCACAGATGCAGTTGAGAACAATCAGCTGATGTGGCCCATCCGCCCGAAGCATCACGTGACCTGCCTTGCTCAAGCTTCATTTGTTATATGCTAGTGGTCCCCACTTGGAGAGGTCAGTTGGACAACAGTGACATATGAGCCGATGTTCTGCAGTTTATTTTGACATATGTGCTACTGAGGGTTACTCAGAACTTGGCTACAGTGAAGTGCGATTGAGACCCTTGGAAACAAAATTCAATGCCCTTCTGACCGGTTTGCAAAATACAAGTTCTATTGTGCTGAGGACTGAATTGCAGATTCTACCATTCTTTCCGCATGGAAGACTATGTTGGGCGGCTGGCAGGCCTTTTCTGGTGATTGGTTGATAGATTTTACTGCTTTAATCTAAATTTATTGTGCTGCCTGCCAGATCTTGGGAATGCAACCCACAAGTGCTCCAGCTTGGAAGAGACCATCCTGAAGAAGTTCTACCTTGGGTTACTTGATGTGGTTAAATCAGAAGTTTGTCAACCTGTGGATCTGATCTGGATTGATTGCCTGTATAAGGCTGGAGAAGCACCACTCCTTGGATGAGTTCGATGATCTTTCGTCTGATTAGTGAAGAAAAAAGGGCTTGATGGAGTGTGCTGGTTCAGGAGGGTATTACCTATGGTTTGCTGAGTGAGACCTTTCGAAAAAAAGTCCCTCAGGATGGTCTCAGAATGAAAGCATGTCCTCAGGAAGGGTTCGGGACCCTAAGGGTACTGTATAACTGTTTCAGTTCGAGTTCGAGTTCGAGTTCGAGCGGGGCACACTATGCAGCAGAGCCTGATGAACCTGCTTCTTCATCCTCACAGCCGCCGCCTTTGCGCAGAATGCCCCACCCAACGGACAACGCAGTCTTGGAAGAAGCCGGCAAAGATGATAAACCCAAGGCTCAGAAACGCAAGTCCAAGAAGAAGAAGAAGGGCAATAAGGGCGAAGGCAAGAAACATCGTTGAGCACTACATGTGATGTGAGGCTTGCGGTTTTTGAATGTGTTTCTCTTAGGCTTTGGCAGTGAGATTCACTGAGTTTGATTGACTGAGTGCAGGCTTTGCAAAAGAACTCAACAAACAATTGAGCTGTGATCATTTGAAAACCATGACAATGAGCGAGTTCCTGAACTGTGTTCTGAATCTGGTTTGAGACTTTGAGAACATTTTTCACCAAACACCATGAGAGATTTTTGAGAGACAGAAGGAAGGCCAAAGAGTCAGGGGTCGAAGTTTGGTCGAAACTTCGTCGAAGTTTCGACTCGAAGTTTGGTCGAAGTTTCAACTGCTATCGAAGTTTACTTTTGTACAATGTTAACAAAACACTGTAAATACCATATGTTTTGAAGGTTGTATCTTAAACTTCGACTAAACTTCGACCAAACTTCGACTAAACTTCGAGTCGAAACTTCGACGAAGTTTCGACCAAACTTCGACCTGTCATCATTGTAGTAAAAGAAAAACTAATGAAACCATACTACAAACCTTCAGGAATTCAAAGAGTTCGTGTTGGAATTCTTCAAAAAATGCTTGATGAACCTATGAGCGGACACTTCATTCTTCAACATTTGACCTGTTGACCTCTGTGGATTTCTTCCAATCAGCGCTCAAGTCGATCATTTTTGTGCGAAGAATCTTGCTTAGATAGTACGCGTGATCGCTTATCATCATGCCTCCCGTGAAACGCCCAGCTAGCGCAGAAGGTCCCAGAAAGAGGCCTGCAAGCTCCATCAACCAGACGGTCAGAGAGATCAAAGAGCAGTCTGCGGCCATGAGCGAAGCCCGAGACAAGGGGAAAGGTGAAAAGTTCGCGAAGATGTTGAAGGCAGGCACCCTCCCCCCAGAGGTGGTGCACATGTGGAGCATCGAATCGAAAAAGGCACCTTCGGAGCGAGCCTTCAAGACTGAGCTCATCAACTCGCTATTCGCAAAGCAGAAGGACGGCTCGTATCGCATCGACACGGACTCCCACCAATTCGCACAATACCGCAAGGTGCACCATGCCCACATCGCGAAGACCAAGGACGAAGCATTGCCGAAGAACCTCATGATCGGTACGCACTTCAGTGGAGATGAGCGCCTCTTCAACAGAGCTTTGGAGGACAAGGAGCTTACCTCTTTCAAGGATGAGGCGTCCGGCATTGAGTACTACAGCTTCCGTAAGCTTCAGGCTGTGGATTTGCATGCGTCCGAGCAGGGCGAGCATGTGCATGGCTACAAGAAGCTTGGGAAGGATCAAGCTTACACCTTGGGTGCCCTCATGACGAAGATGAAGTGGGACTTCAAAATGACCAAGGCACAGAAAACATGTTTGTAAGAACAGGATAACGGCGCTCAGTTCAGAACACTTTGTTTTCATGAGCTCTGCAAGTGTGGGGAGTGCCTAGTCCTTGAGAAGAGGAGTGGAGAGTTTTCTTGTGAGTCTTGTGAACTGAAACCTTGTCTACGGAAACCCATCAATATAAACCGTTATAAAAATAATACTAAACTTTTTTGAGGCTTTAGCCACATATCCTTCAGCCCATTGCTGTTTAAAGACAATATACAGAATTGGTGTTCAATTCATGAGGCAGAACAAAAGAGTTTGGACAAGGACGGCGAGATTCCCAAAAGGTTTTGAAGCATTGGCATCTAAAGCGAAAGATGCCGTGGAAAGACTCTTGAAGGAGGGAAAGAAAATCGCCAACCAGATTGAAGACAAGGCCTTGATCAAGAACGGGTTTACCACGCTGACAGGCCATCTCAACGACCTGAACCATTGGTCTATGTTCCAGGAACTGCCCAACAAATCAGTGCCATCCAAGGCAACTTTGGAGTCCTTCGTGGGGAAGATTGCAGTCGATGTGGATCGTTTCAATGGGGAAATTAAAGCTGCCAAAGGTCGGCTTAAAGCCTGTAAGAACTGAAGCGTTACACTTAGCTCGGCTGCTTAGTGATCATGCCCACGCCTCCAGCTCTTGGGGAAAGTTTGATGGGGGGTTATTCTATTTTGGTTTAGCCCATATACCAAAAAGAACATTAAACACCCTATGGTTCGAAGCTGTTCTCCATATCTTTGCAGGTTCTGAGTTCAAGCTGTTCTCCATGTGTCCTTTACAAGTTATTGTTTGAAGCGGTTTTCCAAGTCCAAGTCGGGCTTTTTCCAAGAACATCATCTCCAAGGAAAGGCAAGGGGCTGAAGGATCCCTGATGGATCGAAAGCTGGCAACGTATGAGAGTTGAAAAAAGAACCTTTAGATCATGATGCTTGAACTTGTATATACCGGAAAACCGATCCCTGCTAAACAAAGTATCTTTCAAGCAGTGCTGACACGCAAATGCTAGAATATGTTTCCCATATATGTGTCCCTGGGATATCTCTGTTTCTCTCAAGGTGTTGTGCGCTCAGGTCATCTCATGGCTCAGATTTGTGCCTCATGGCTCAAACTCCCTGCCAAATATATTGACTGAAGTTGGTGAGTTTGCAGCGTCTACCCAAAAACCTCAAGCCCTGAGTTATCCTTGAGTGAAAAGAGCATCAATTTATGGTTGGCCAAACCCTGCCCTTGCCTGAGCTTGGATTTTCTGAAAACACAAGTGAAAACCTCGAACTTACAAGCGCGTTGTGACAGAGGGAACACTGTGGGGAACCTAGCTTTTCAGAGTTTGCAAACATATAGAGACAGTTTCGATTCATGCATAATCATTTTCAGAACTTACAACGTTTGGACAAAAAGAGTGGAGATCGTTTTTGCCACAGGCACGAGCTCAAACAAAACGACATCAACCAACAGTTGGCTTTCTCTCAACAAAGTTTTATTTCAAACACTTCTCTCAACGTTGCTCTCTCAAGGTGAGATCCCTCCTCTCGCTCCTCTCAAGGTGAAGTTATTCCTCTCAAGGTGGCCAACCAGTGGGAGGTTCCTAAGGTGAAGCCCTACACGAGATGTATTCGAGCCTTTTGCTAAGAAAACATTTTCAATCAGTTTCGAGATGCATATGTCAGAATATGTTTCACTCAAATTCCTCTCTGTCTCTCACGGTTCTGACACTCATGGTTCATGGTTCAGGTCTGACACTAACGCTTTCTCAGATCTTCTCATAGATCAAATGTGGCTAGGCCGTGCACTGCAAACTCAATGTATTACGAGGCCAAAAGGCATGACAAGCTGAAGACCTATAGGGCGAAAAAAAGAGTGAGATCTCAAAACTGTTTAAATGACAAATGAACGCCACTGAAGCCACTTTGCGCTTCAAGAGAAAGTCTCCTCACACTCGAACCTCTTCAGCAGTTGAGCCGCTTAAGACGCAATGTGTGCATGAAGACAGGCACTGACAAAACACATAGAGTCTGACAGGAGACCTTTTTACCACTGCCACATGTAAAAGACATTGTTTACACTGTTACACCTTTTGCGCCGGTATGTATTGAACATGGAGCCACCCAGAAAGAAACAAAAAAGAGGTGGTATAAAACAGAGGATTGCCAGGGCCAAAGAAGCCGAGTGGGCCGTGCACAACTTTGAGGGCAGCAGCACTTTGGCAGCCTTACTTCTTAGTTTGTTTGCGTGGGGGTTCTTCAGCCCCCAGCGGGTGCAAGAGATCGCTGCTCGCGCTGTCCAAGACATCGAAAACGCTGCCAACAACCCAAGTGTGATTGAGGAGTTGAAGATTCTCCAGAGCCTTGGGACCAAGGGGAAATACAGCAACAAAATGCACGGCCAACTGATGGAAAGAATTGAATGGGTTTCTCGGCTGCCTAAAGGCTATAAGTTTCAAATCCCACTCCGAGGGTTTCGACAAACTTGCAGCCAAATGA